GCCATTGCTTGGATGAAAATGGTACCAATGCAGACTATAAGATCTAGGGTTCAGTTCTTGAAGATCTCTGCTTTGAGTGCTATATTTTGTGCCTCTGTTGTTAGTGGCAACATCTCCCTTAGGTATTTGCCTGTATCCTTCAATCAGGCTATTGGTGCTACCACTCCCTTTTTCACTGCTGTATTTGCTTACCTAATGACGTTCAAGAGGGAGGCTTGGTTGACTTATGTCACTCTCATTCCTGTTGTCACGGGGGTTATCATTGCCAGCGGGGTATGCTTTTCTTCTATCTCAGTTTTACTTGAATTCTGGTGCTATAGTTATTTAATTCGGTCTCTTGTGGTTGATTTAATTAGGTAGAGTTCAAGCTTATACCCCATTCTAAGAAAATTGCATATTTGCTGTTGCAATGATAAGATGTAAGATGAATACATGTTTTTGAGTGAAATAATGTGGTAATATTTCTAAGTTAGTGGGTCGTATTTTGTCAATGCTTGATTCAATACAGGATCTTGCTGCACATTGGATTGTTAATAGGTACTAAGTGTTTAAGTTGTGCCAAAAGATGTGTTTGTGAGCTAGACTTGTTGAAAAAGCTGATTTGGATTTTGTATGACTAACTTGTATTGACACTTTAGACTTTAGTGCTGCAGATGGAATCTTTCTTAAGACTAATTTATTTTAGTTTATCTTCTCAGGGAGAGCCAAGTTTTCATCTATTTGGGTTTATAATGTGTATCGGCGCAACTGCTGCAAGGGCACTCAAGTCAGTGGTTCAGGGAATTTTGCTTTCCTCTGAAGGGTAATAATGCTGTTTTTGTGTTTCAGTAAATATTTAGTGGAATTCTATGCTCTTCATTATGGTCAATCCGGAGATAGGATAGGATGCTGAATTGTTTGTGTTTACATATTACAGGGAGAAGCTGAATTCCATGAACCTTTTACTCTACATGGCTCCTATAGCAGTCGTGCTTTTATTACCTGCAACGCTCTTGATGGAAGATAATGTAGTTGGTATAACACTGGCACTTGCAAGAGATGATATAAAGATCATCTGGTTATTGCTTTTCAATTCTGCCCTTGCTTATTTTGTAAACTTGACCAATTTTCTGGTCACGAAACACACCAGTGCGCTGACTCTTCAGGTAATTTTTCTTGATTCTCCGTTCAAGATATATTTAAGATGGGTTCTTGGATTTTTTGTATCATCAGTTTAGATTATGCTTATTTTTTAAATCGGATATCAGTGCTGCTTTCAGATCTTGATAAGTAAAATGGGATCAATTTATACTGTCTTTTTTGCTTTTGTCTGGAAGGATTCATCTTTGAATTTTATCGAAGAGCTATTTTACTTATTTGAAAATCCTACGCATTTTCTTCTCTTTCGTCAAATACAGCTCGTATCTCACATAATATTTGAATTTTTCAAGCACTTCTAAACTTTTTTCCCCTAATGAAAAAAAAATGTTCTGGAAGAGGGGTTGTCTGAATTTTGAGATCTTGAATTCAATATGGTTGGAGTGTTTCTTCTATCCTAGTATGCTGTATATGTGGAGCTTCAATATTTGAGCTATGATCTCTTTCGGATTTGTAAACATTGTGGGTTTGTTTGTTATGCTGATATTTTGGTGATTTCTCTAGCACCGTGATTCTTTTAAGCTTAATATTTATGTGAATTGCATCGGATTTAAGTTTCCCCTGATTCTCATAGAAACCAAATAAGTGAAGTATGATGCTGGTGAATCAAACTTGTAAGACTTATAGACATGTACCAGTAGAGTATGTATATAATATCAACAGAATATTAGGACTCTAACTGAAGTTTGGGGAGGAGTAGATATAGTCATGCTTAGCCTTACATGAGGAATCAATTGACAGACCTATTTTTGAGAAGAATAAGTTTAGCATTGGAAGACTCGGCCTCTTACTATTGAGTAGGGATTTAGGTGTCATAAACTATGAAGAGGACTCCAACTTGGGTATTTAGTCCTCCGTGCCAATATGAGATCCGTACCACAAATACAATCAACTTTCATTCGCCAATAGATTAAGTAATAGAGTTTAAATGATATCAATGTTAGATTTTGAGGTTGGTTGATAAGCATACTAAATATGCTGAGTGGTATAATTTGTTCTTGAGGTAGTCACATCAGGGCTTGCACCTTTTCCCAAATGGTTTTGCCATGGCTAACTCCGCCTAAGAAAATGGTTGTTGTTTATTGGTAATTTGGGAATGCAAGTTTATTTTTAGCAAGAAAAGTCTAGCTGGATGTAAAATTTTCTGATTGTATCACATATACTGAGATATTTGCCTGACAATTTTGTGATAACATGGAAAAGAAAGAAAAATGGGCCTTCAAACTTGCAGCTAAGGGATTTAATATTGGAGTATCTTCTCAAGATGGAGACTTTTCCCTTTAAAGAAAGGGGAGCAACCCCCCCCCCCCCCCCCCCCCCC